CCGCCCCGGCTCCTTCCCGCCAGTTCATGGAGCGTGCACCGCCTCGCCCTTCCTACTCTCTTCTGTGGGCCTCTCGTCTGCGCTTGTCTCCAGAGACTCCGTTCTGCTAATCCTCTGGCGGTTTTCTGGGTTATTTAGGCAGGTGTAGGTGGAATCTAAGTGATGAGCCCAGCGTCCTCCTACGCCGCCATCTTCCCTCTCTCCTACAATGTTTTATTTTCTAGAGAATCCTTACTGTTTCCTTTCTGACATTTAGCATGAAAATCTAATCATTCGCATTCTTCTAAGAACTGATTTGAGCAGGAACTGATCCATATTTTAATTAAGTTGAGTTATTGTATGATTTGTCTAACCCATAATCGTACATATTGCTGCTTCCCCTCATGGGTGATTTATTTGATCTTGCAAGTATTTTAGCAGGGAAGAGTTTGAACTCTGATTTTAAATAGTTTTGGTTCACATTTTGGTTCATTCCTGGTAGAACTTCAAATACAATTACCACAAGAACATGCAGTATGAGATTCCTCTGGTTTTTAGTTCCTCCTTTTTATTATTGTGTAATTGCCAAACTATAAAACATTTTGTTATCCCCAAAAGCTTCCTTGTATCCCACTTACAGTCAGTTCTTTCCTCCCACCCTGGCTCTAGACAAACACTGATCTGTCACTATGCTTTTACCTTCTCTAGAATGTCATGTAAATAAAATCATATAATATGTAGTCATATATATATATATATGGCCTTCTCCACTTCATCATGTATTTGAGATTCATCCATGTTGTTCTGTATATCAGTAGTTTGTTTCTTTGGTGTGAAGAGTATTCCATTGTATGACTATCCCACAGTTTGTAATCCATTCACCAGTTAATAAACATTTAGGTGGTTGGATGCAGTAACTATTTTGCATGTAACTTTTATGAGTGAAGCTTCTGTGGACATTGTGTACAAGTCTTTGTGAGGATATATGTTTTTATTCATCGTGGATAGTTTCTTTGGAATAGGATTGGTGAGTTATAAATACGTGTTTAACTTTATGAGCGATTACTCATAAACTGTTTCCCAACATGGCGGAATAATTGTATGTTCCTACCAGCTCTCTATGAGAGTTCTGGTGGCTGCACATTTTTACCAGAATTGGTATTGTCAGTCTTTTTAATTCTGACCATTCCTAATGGGTACGTAGGCCTCACTTTTCTGCCATCTTTATGGCAAAATTGAGATGGGGAGGAGTTTGGTAGAAGAAAAATGTTTGGGTTCAGTGATTTGCCTTAGGAGCTTTTCTCATTCTAGTCTATCTACCAGCTTAAATGGCTGTCAAAGGCTCAGCTGGTTTTTCTTCATACTCTCAATTCTGTTTGTCAATGGTAGGCCTGCTTTTTGACGTGGCTGACTTGGCACACTAGGCACAACTAGGCCAAGTGCTCTTCTTTCTCCACCATGCTCCCTTTAGGTATGGATATGGCTTTGGTTCTTTGCTCATCTGCAGTGTTCTGTGGAATTCAATTCATCACGTTTTCCTTATGTCCTCTCCTTTTCAACATCCTCAAGGAAAAACATAATAATTTGTAGGTGACTAACAGTCTGTATTATACTGGTATTTTACTTGTCTTACAGCACTGTTGTCATAATTTTTGATGATTTTAATATCCATGTAGAAGATCTTTCCAAATAATGTGGTCTCTTAGTTCACTGAATGATCATTCACTCTAATGATCTTATCTTCTATGTCAGCCACTAACCAACAAGATGATATCCTTTAGTCTTTGTCGTAACCAATCACTGTTACTTTTCCATAATTTAAGTTTCAATCATCTTAATTTCTGGTCACTACCTCTTATCTTTCCCACTTAGTCTGTCTAATATTCTGACTCCAAAAGTCCTTTGATTCCATTAGGAACTATAATCCATTGGTCCTATTACATTTTACTGTCCCAAATACTTCTTCTATTCTTACTTACCTAGCTTAAATTCCATGTTCCCTTATTATTATTGCTCCCACACATAGGTACTTAACTCTCTTGCCTTGTCATGCTTTATTGATTTTATTTTGTTAAACTGCAACCCTGATCAAATCAATCCCTATATTTGTGGCTTCTAAATCTGAATAGAAGATGGTCCTCAAGCATGTGTATAGTCTCATATTTATGATTAGTAACTCTAGTTCATTCATTTTCCTGCTTTCCTGAATGACTAATTCAGTTTTCCCACTCTTCTATATGGGTATTGATCTTTACCATGACAAAAAAAATATATGAGCGTATGAGTATGTTTTAAAATGTGACGGTGAATAACATATTCCTCATGGAGAACACTCTATGAGAATCCTAACTGTATATAAGCATCTAGATTTGTTTATCATAGGTTATCTCTGATTTACAAATCACCGCTCTACTATAAAAGATTTAGTCATTGTGACTTTTTTTTTAAGTCATTGTAACATTTTAATCTGTCACTATTTTTTCCTCAAAGTCTTCATTTGCTTATTGAGGGTGAAAGACTATAGCTCTTGATAAGTATACTTATATTCAGAAGTTATAATTAGCGTTAATTTTCTAACACAAAGAGATATTTATAAGGTATATACAGAATTGCTACCTTTTTTTGGCTGCTCATAAATTTCAGGAGTCTAAATCTGGGATGCTTGATTTTCTACAACTATGTAGAGGAGAATGAGAAGAGATGCATAGTTGGGTATGTCATTCATGGGCCACTCCCCAGAATGTACTCTCTTCCACTTTCTGGGAGAATTTGCTAGTATAGCATTTGGAGCACAATTTCTTGTCTTATATGTTTGAAGGGACATAAATTATAGACAAAAATTATTTTTATTTATTTTTTTTTTTAATTTTTTTTTTCAATGTTTATTTATTTTTGGGACAGAGAGAGACAGAGCATGAACGGGGGAGGGGCAGAGAGAGAGGGAGATACAGAATCGGAAACAGGCTCCAGGCTCTGAGCCATCCTCCCAGAGCCCGACGCGGGGCTCGAACTCACGGACCGTGAGATCGTGACCTGGCTGAAGTCGGACGCTTAACCGACTGCGCCATCCAGGCGCCCCTAGACAAAAATTATTTTTAAAAGCAAATGTACTAAAATATAGATGGGTATGCATATGGGTTCTGAAATTAAAAGTAACTTTGTTTTATTCTTTTCAAAAGGCTGGGGATGATCTGAATTCATTCTTGATATGTTGTTCACAATTTGCAGCTCAGTTAGAAGAAGCAGCTAAGGAAGAACGTCATGTATGTATTCTGCATAAATTATCGAATCTAAAATATCATTTATTGTTTTAATTTAAATTATTGGTACTGTTAATAAATTTTATACTAATACATTTTATATTTATTAAAAATTGCTCTTGGGGCGCCTGGGTGGCGCAGTCGGTTAAGCCTCGACTTCAGCCAGGTCACGATCTCGCGGTCCATGAGTTCGAGCCCCGTGTCAGGCTCTGGGCTGATGGCTCGGAGCCTGGAGCCTGTTTCCGATTCTGTGTCTCCCTCTCTCTCTGCCCCTCACCCGTTCATGCTCTGTCTCTCTCTGTCCCCAAAATAAATAAACGTTGAAAAAAAAAATTAAAAAAAATTGCTATTAAAATAATTATAGTGGTAAAATATTTTAAAGCTATGTTGGTTGTTTGAATTTAGATGTAATATCATGTAGCAATATTAGTCTAGATACAATGCCTTAATGAGTTACAATAGGCATTAGAAAGTATTATTTTTTTTTATTCTTAACATAGGCACTTAGATCTGTGAATTTTCCTTTAAGTACAGCATTGATAGAGTCATTGGTATTTTCATATTTACAGATGAAAATATAGTATTAATAGTATTTTTATTTTAGTGTTTTTAATAAGGTAAATTATATTACAAAGGCAATATGTCATAATTAATGAAAATTTTAAAAAAGACATGCATGAAGAAAACAAAAATTTGTTGTGGCCTGTTTACATAAGGATTTTTATGCTGAATTAGTTTTCTTCTATTCTTAGTTTATTGAGGTTTTTTTTTTTTTTTAACCATCAAGGAGTGGAATTTTATCAAAACCTTTTCTTGAATCTATTGAGATGATCATGTGGTTCTTGTCCTTCATTTGTTTATGTGGTGTATTACATTGTTTCATGTTATTACAAATAGTGAGCCAGGCTTATGTTCTAGACATAACTCCTACTTGTTTTTACCTTTTAATTTGCTTTTGAATTCTGTTTGCTAGTATTTTGTTTAAGATTTTTGCATCATTATTAATCAGGGATATTGGTCTGTAGTTTTCTTGTGTCTTTGTCTCGTTTTGATATCAGGATAATGCAGGCCTCATGGAATAGGTTTGGAGAATTCCTCCTTTTTGATTCTTTGGGAGAGTTTGAGAAGGGTTGGTGTTTTAAATGATAGAATGCTCCAGTGAAGCCATCTCGTTCTGGATTTTTCTTTGTTGGGAGGTTTTTGATTACTGCTTCAGTTTCCTCACTAGTTATAGATCTGTTCAGATTTTTAAATTTTTTCATGGGTTGGCCTCAGTAGGTTATATGTTTCTAGGAATTTATCCATTTCTTCCAGGTTATCCAATATTTTGGCATATAATTGTGTATAGTAGTCTTTTATGATCTTTTGTCTTTGAGCAAAGTGGACATCATTGTAATATATCCTCTTTCATTTCTAATTTTAATTATTTGAATATTCTCTTTTTTTCATAGTTAATCTAGCTAAAGCTTGTTACTTTTGTTAGTCTTTTTTTTTTTTTTAAGTTTATTTATTTTGAGAGAGAGGGAGAGACAGACAGACAATGTGAGCAGGGGAGGGACAGAGAGAGAAACCCAAGCAGGCTCCACATTGTCAGGCAGAGCCTGATGTGCTTGAATTCACGAACTATGAGATCATGACCTAAGCTGAAATCAAGAATCAGAGGCTTAACTGACTTAGCCACCCAGGCGTCCCCTTGTTAATCTTTTTAAAAACCACTCTTGGTATCATTTTTGTTTCCTATCTCTATTTCATTTATCTCTGCTCTAATATTTATTATTTCCTTTCTTTTGCAAACTCTGGCTTTAAACAAAATTTTTTTTGTTCCTTTAGATAAAAGGCTATTGTTTGTGATCTTTTTATTTATTTAATTTATTTTTTGAATACTTATTTATTTTTGAGAGAGAGAAAGAGAGAGAGACAGAGAGAAGGGAATAGAGAATCCCAAGCAGTCTCAGCACTGTTAGTGCAAAGTCTGATGTAGGGCTTCACCTCAGGAACCATGAGATCATGACCTGAGCTGAAATCAAAAGTTGGATGCTTAACCAACTGAACAACCCAAGTGTCTCAGTTTGTGATCTTTTTAAATGTAAACACTTACCACCATAAACTTTTAGTACTGATTTTTGCCAAATCTCATAGTTTTGGTATTTTGTGTTTTGTTTTCATTTATCTTCAGATATTTTCTAAATTCCATTATGATTTTTTCTTTGATCCATGGATTGTTCAAGAGCATGTTGTTTAATTTTCACATATTTGTGGATTTTTTTGTTTTCTTTCTACTATTGATTTCTAATTTTATACCACTGTGTTTAAAAAGATGCTTTGTGTGATTTTGATCTTAAAATTTGTTAAAACTTGTTTTGTGTCCTTAACATGTAGTCTGTCTTGGAGAATGTTCCATGAGTGCTTGAGAAGAACATGTATTTTGCTGTTGTTAGGTGGAGTGTTCTGTATATGTTTGTTATGTATATCTATTTTACAGTATTGTTTAGTCCTTCATTTCTTAAAAATTTTTTTTTATGTTTATTCATTTTTGAAAGAGAGAGACAGAGTACAAGCAGGGGTGGGGCGGAGAGAGAGAGGGACACAGAATCTGAAGCAGGCTCCAGGCTCTGAGCTGTCAGCACAGAACCCGACGTGGAGCTTGAACTCACGAACCACGAGATCATGACCTGAGCTGAAGTCAGATGCTCAACCGACTGAGCCACCCAGGCGCCTCTAGTCCTTCATTTCTTATTGATATTCTGTCTGATTGTTCTTGCCATAACTGAAAGTGGGGATATTGAAATGTCCTAATATTATTGTGTTGCTGTCTGTTTCTCCCTTTAGTTCTGTTAGTGTTTGCTTCACATATTTGGGTGCTTTAATATTAGTTGCATATATATTTATAATTGTTACATATTTCTAGTGAACTGGCCCTTTTATCATTATATATATCTTTCTTTTTTCTTTATTTTTTGACAGTTTTGTCTTAATCTCTATTTTGTCTAAGAATGGCCACCCTTGCTCTCTTTAAGTTCCTGTTTCTATGGAATATCTTCTTCTGGCCTTTTGCTTTGAGCCTGTGTGAGTTCTCAGATTTAAAGACAGTCTCTTAGGGGCAGCATATAGTACTTGTAGGAGATGCTTACTATTGCCATGTTGTTTATGCTTTCTGTTTGGTAGCTTTTGGTTCCTCTTTTTCTCTCTTGGTATCTTCTTTTGTGTTTTGTTGATTTTTTTGTAGTGATGTATTTTGATTCCCTTCTTGTTTCCCCTTGTTTATATTCTATAGTTATTTACTTTGTGGTTACCATTGCAATTATATAAAACTTATTAAAGTTACAACAATCTATTTTAAACGGATAACAACTTCAATTACATATAAAAACTCTACTATTTACATTCCTGCCTCTCCTACTTTATGTTATTCATGACATAAATTACCTCTTTTTACATTGTATGCCCATTAACTTAAGTTTATAATTAGTTTTCATCTTAAAAAATTCTGTACCAAATTTATAAGTGATTTATTTGCCTGCTTAAGAATACTACAGGATATTTGTTGATACGTTTATATTTGTAAGGGAATTTTATATTTTTGTATGGTTTTGTGTTGATGTTTATTGTTATTTCTCTTCAACTTTTAGGACTCCTTCAGGGTTTCTTATAAGGAAGGTCTAGTGGTAATGAATTCTTTTCAGCAGTTCTTTTTATCTGGGAAAGTCCTGATTTCTCCCTTATATTTGAAGGATAGTTTTGCAAGATATAGTATTTTTGTTTGGCAGTTTTCTTTCAGTGCTCCCTAGTAGCCCATAATCTAATGGTTAAAAATTTGCTGATGATCTGGTATAAACTTTCTTATATGTAATGTGTTCTATTTTTCTTGCTGTTGACAAGATTCTATCTCTGTGACTTTTGACAGTTTAGTATGATGTATCTCAGTATAGATTTCTTTTGATATTTTCCTAATTGGAGATATTTAAGCTATTTGAATTTGTATGTCTATTTTCTTTTCAGATTTGGGAAATTTTTATCATTTCTTCAAATAAGTTCCATGCCTGTTTCTTTTTTCTTCCTTCTTCAGTTCCCATAATTCATATTTTGTACCATTCCATGGTATCCCATATGTCCTTTAGGCTCTCTTTATTTTTCTTCATTCTTTCCTTTTTTTTCCTTTTCTGTCTTGATTATTTTGAAGATCTTGTCTTATAGTTTTCTGATTCTTTCTTCTAATTGGTCAAGTCAGCTGTTGCATTCCTGTAATGGATTTTTCAATTCAATTATTGTATTCTTTAGTTCCAGAATTTCTGTATGGTTTTTCTTCATAGTTTTTATTTTTTTTTCTTGATATTCTCATGTTTATGTATGGTTTTTCTCATTTCCTTTGGTTGTGCTCTCTTTTAGCTCATTAAGTATCTTCATGATGACAATTTTGAATTCTTCATAATTCATACATTTCTGTTTCTTTAAAGTTAGTTTCTGGAGGGGCACCTAGGTGGCTCAGTTGGTTGAGCATCTCACTTTGGCTTAGGTCATGATCTCATGGTCTGTGGGTTTGGGCCCCATGTAGGGCTCTGTGCTGACAGCTCAGAACCTGGAGCCTGCTTTGGATTCTCTGTCTCCCTCTCTCTTTGCCCCTCCCCCATTTGTGCTCTTTCTGTCTCTCAAAAATAAATAAACTTAAAAAAAATGATTAGTTTGTGGAGATTTAATTTGTTTGTTTGAATGTGCCATGGTTCCCTCTTTCTATGTCTTGTTACTTTTTGTTGTTAGAATTTTGGCATCTCTTCCAGACTTTGTGGTCTGATTTCCTATAGGGAAGACTTTCTCCATTCAGCCTGCCTAGATACTGGAGGCTTCTTAGGCCCTTTTTGGGTAGGCATTCCCTCTGGGTTTATGTGTGTAATCTTTGAGGCAGGTACTCCCAGTGGTGCTGTTATAAATTTCAGTAAGGAACCCCACCTAGTGTCTATTTTTGGTACTGCAATCTCTGGTGCTTCATGTACTCTGGTGAATGGTTG